ATATTCAAATTTATTTTATCTTAAAAAACGCACCAATCTAATTGATTGGGCTAAAATATATTTTTTGGTTTTTGAATGTTCCCATTTGTGTCTATGCAACTTCTACATATTTCTTCAAGACATTTTATTTTCAAAAACATTTTATAAAAAAGGTTTTAAGTGTGTGTGTGTTTATAGCCAATTACTTTAAATAGAAAATAATTTTTGCTTACATTGATTCACCCGTTTCTATTTTAGGATGATCAATCTAGATCTTGTGTCTGATGTGTTCCATATGTTTGACCTTTGAGATGACCAGATGATTTTGATTTCATTTAACCTTTTATGAGTCTTTCTTATCAAACATATGGCTTGTATTAACTGTTTAAGTGCATTGCTTGACTTTCTCAGCTGTTGCATCTTTGTTATGCTGAGTATAATCTAATCTGCTCTTTTATTCATCATGTTGCATCTTTTGCTATGTTGAATGCTCTTTTATTACTCTTCTTGGTTGACTTTATAAAAGGCTTCATCTTTTACTATGTTGAGTGTACTTTCATTGATCTTCTACATTAGTCATCAAATTGCATCTCTATCATGTTGATTGTATGCTGTGATATCTCATTGTACTGGTCTGCTTTTGCATCTTTAATATGTTGAATAAGCTTTATGATCTTTCTACAACTATCATCATCAAAACAACACATCTTACATGCAAAACAAGGTTCCACACCTTCTTTTTCATGTTTTGCAAGCCTTGCATTAGTTTCTTGATTTCTTTTGTTTTCAGGATAATAACTAGATAATGACCATACTTCTGACAATTGTAATATTGAATGTGACTTTTTCAGGTTTTCTTCCACCATCTTTTCCTCTACCTGCAACACCACCTCCGCGGTTGCTCTGGTTTGCGGGTTTTATCTGGTTCTACCAGTTTCCTTCTTGTTGGTTACCTTTACCATTCAAATTTTTGCAACTTCCTCTTCCTTTGTTGGCATCCCATCTTTCTTTATCTTTCTTTTCTTTTGTTGATTACGTCTGTAGAGCTACATCACTTTTCGCCTTGCTTGAAGATCTTTCAGAGATCCTTTTCTCAGGAGATTCAAGTGTACCTCAAAGCTCCTATTTTGTGACACTTGAAAAATATTTCATTCTTCTATGGCTACTGCCACATGATCTAATTTTGGAGCCAATGACCTTAAGATCTCTGTGATAACTAATCTTGATGTCAACACTTTTCCATATATTTTAATTTGATTCACCAGTTTTGTAACCCTAATGAAGAAATCAGCCACACTTTCACTGTCTTCCATCTGAAGCAACTCATACATTCTTTTATGATTTTGTAACCTCACTTCTTTCACCTTCTCTACATCTCCAAATGATATTTCTAGGGCGTCCCATGCTTCATTCGCTGAGTCTACATCACCAACTTTCTCAAATTTGTATGGATCACCGCACTGATGGATTATAAAGAGAGCTTTATAATCTTTCTTCTTCAAATTTTTGTGTGAAGCCTTTTGTTCATCCGTAGCATTCTCTGTGATTGGTGTTACTCCATTCTTCACAAGATCCCAAAGATCTTGATAGCAGAAGACAAACTTCATTTGTTTACACCAATTCTCATAATTTTTATCTTTCAGGATTGGAAGATTTGTTGGAAAATGTTCGTTCATATGATTCATTGCGCTATGCTTTCCAAGAATCACACAGTCAGTGTTCTAGATACCAGATGTTGGAATTAACCCCAATGTTGAAGATAATCCGAATCAATCTTGATGAACAATAATCTATCTTTCTGATTAATCACTCATCTTGTTCTTCACTCTTCACTCGAGTGAATCAATCACACCTTAGTTGTAAGATGATTCCACTACACAAAGATTTAAGAAGAAAATGGGAAAACAAGAAATTAGGGTTTTGAGAGATAGAGAAAGAAAGAAGAAGTTGCTAACTTTGCAGAGTAACTTTCTGCTTTCTATTTCAAACTGCAAAAAATGTTTTTCTCGTCATATTACAATAATAAGGCACCTCCCTATTTATAGTTTAGTTTGCTTGGTCACCAAGCAAACTCTAACTAACTAACTAACTAACAAACAAAATAACTACTAAGTATAACTCCTTCGACAACTTATAAATTTCAACAACTCTTTGCTATGTTCAACTTTCTATCAACTACGATTCATACAGACTCTGTCGAATATCATTTCGACACAAAAAATTACACATTCAACAAATTGCTACTCCCTCCGTCCTAAAATAATTGTCGTATGTGATAAAATTATTTGTCTCAAAATAATTGTCGCTTTTAGTTTCCAATGCAATTTTAATTTTTATCTTCGAACTCTGTCCTCTAAATAATACTCTCAATTTGTTATTCTCTCACTTTACATTAATGATAATTTGAATACACCAATTAATAAAAAATGATAGTTTGATAAAAATACTTTTTTTCTTTTTCCCTCAAGAGATTTAACAGTCATACATACTCTATCTCATCCAAGTGCTTTTGAGTTACTATTCTCTCTTTGATTTATCACATTTTATTTATCTAAGTGAAATGACTTATTACAACAATTATTTTAGAATGAAGGAAGTATAATGTTAAAAGGCATCTCTTCAACCATTATGTAAGAAATCTTTTTACCAAAAAAATCATATTTCATAATTTTTTAAATCAATTTAAACAATAAACAATAGAAAATAATATTTTTAATTCCATCCGACCTATCCAATCATAAACTTCGTAAAAAATTCTATAATGTGTAGTATGAAGAAGAAAAAATTCTTCTAACCGTAGTTCCCTTTCTAGATTTATTTTCATTTCTAAGTGCTAATATTTCAACCTAATAGCGTACCTAGCTTCCCAAACTGCAGAGTGCCCGCATGAACGCGTCAGCTCAATCTCGCTGCTGAAGGCCGACGGAAGTTTGAGTTTAGAGATGTTACTGCCAAAATCTGCTAGGCCGCGGCGGAGATTGATGTTGCTCATCGGAGTAATTTTGGATCTATGATTTTCAATGTAAATGGTTTTATTTTGTTACTTTGAGCTTCTGTACAGTTATTCAATGATGATGCATTACTGTTTGGGTGAAATGAGATACTAATTTTGCTTTACATACTTTTTACAAGCAGAATATGCCAATTCAATACATATTCAGGTTTCTCCAATGCCCAAAGTTCTTGCTATGGAACCGAATCTGCCTTCCATTCACTTCATTGCAGGTAAATCATGATTACTTGTGTTCCATTCACTTCTTCACTCTGATTAGTAATAGTGAGAGAATATAGGACACGATACATTTTAGATAGATTTATAAAACTTAGGGTTTAATGGAAATGCATCAACACAAAAAATTATATACTAATAAATTCTTTTTTGTCATCAAATATTATTTGATTAATTAATCTAGTTAATAATAGTTGTTACCATTTATATGCATAAGATGAGTATATACGGCCTCAAAGTAAATAAAACAATACCAAAATAAATAGACCTCCGGTAGAGTAACGATATGATTAGCGCAACTGTCATGCAATCATTCAAACTAACATACAACAACTATTGATGGTATCAAATGATAAAACAATGAGTTTACGTTCTTAAATCATTGTCCAACAGTAATCAATTGAATTTGCAAAACTTGATGATGGGTAATAAGAGTTATAAAAAAAAGGAACCTATCTTAAAAAATAGTAATAGTGAGAGAATATTAAATTGGTGTGCCAAGAATCACAAATTACATAGAAAAGAGAAGGCTTATTAAAGAAACAACATAGGAAAAAGAATAGGTAATTAAAGTTTACAGTTACATGGAAGTAATTAAAGAGGGGAAAATTTGATTTTTGTTATAGAAAAATGAAGAGTTTATTGACGTATCAGTATGTATTGGATACGATTCGGCAACAATTTTGAAGTATCCGTGATTCATAGGCAGCTACAAACTTGAGGCTAAATCTCATATGGGGGGAAATAGAACTAACTAACACTAATATCAAAGTAGGTACTACTATGTAGTTTAAGTTCTCATAGTGCTAGTATGTTTCTTCTTTGTTGTGTCTGATTTAATTTATGTTTTTTAGGGGTAGAGTTCAAAGTACATCCCTCTGATTGAAAGATCTCAATGCTAAAATTTTATTTTTGTTAACAGAAGTGTAAAATGGTGATAATCTGGTTTAGGCTTAAGGATTCAATGCAAGCTTGTCCTAAACTATCTAGAGATGAATTGAGTTGACTTTGATCAAATGGATGATTCAAACTGCATCAATAAATGATAGACTAAACTTCATCATTTAGCTATGTATGCATTCATCTTTTCCGCATTGTTTGTGTTTGATTCTTGTGATTCCAATTCTGTTAACGACGTGTTCATTCATTTAATCAATTACATATTAATATTGATCACATTCATACATTGCATAGAATAGCATATGCTAAAAGGAAGTCTATTACTTTTAATCAATACAAACTCATATGTTACCCACTTTTTCAGCCATCATTCCGATCAAAATTGTGTATTTCATAAGAACATAATCTCAATGGAGACAATACTAAACTCATCATTTTATTATTTAGTACCACCAATAGTTGTTGTATATTGGTTTGATTGATTGCGTGAAAGTTTCACTAATCACATCGTTACTTTACCGGAGGTCTATTAATTTGTTTGGTATTGTTTTGTTTATTTTGAGTGAGTATATATTCATCTTATGCATATGAATGATAACAACTATTCACTAGATTAAATAATCAAATAGTATTTGGTGACGGAAAAGAATTTAACAGTATATAATTTTGTGTTGATGTTGGTGATATGAAGTTATAAGTAAATAAAAATAAGCAAAATCACCAAAACAATAAAAGGAAATAGATGATATAGATTTATGAATTAGCAGGCACCATACATACACAATTACACTAGAACCAAAATTAGGCTCTTAATCCAATGTAGCTTGTTTTCTTAACAAATAAAAACTTAACATAATTCATTGAAAAGTTTCACATGGCTTTAGCAAGAAGCTTAATAGATGGGAGGAGGGGGTGAGTTATAGAGGTAAGGATGATATGGAGGAGGTGATGGAGATGGTGGGGGTGGAGACTTGTAAATATAAGGAGGCGGCGGTGAAGGTGAAGGAGGTGGCGGTGACTTGTAGAAATATGGTGGAGGAGGTGACGGAGAAGGTGGAGGTGGAGATTTATAGTAGTATGGAGGAGGTGGTGAAGGTGAGGGAGGTGGTGGTGACTTATAGACATAAGGTGGAGGAGGTGAAGGAGATGGCGGGGGTGGAGATTTGTAAACATATGGAGGTGGGGGTGAAGGGGATGGTGGAGGTGGAGATTTGTACACATATGGAGGAGGCGGCGAAGGAGAAGGAGGAGGAGGAGACTTGTAATAGTATGGTGGAGGAGGAGAATGGGAAGGTGGTGGGGGAGACTTGTAAACATATGGAGGAGGTGGTGAAGGGGATGGTGGGGGTGGAGACTTGTAAATATAAGGAGGCGGTGGAGAAGGTGAAGGAGGTGGCGGTGACTTGTAGACATATGTTGGAGGAGGTGATGGAGAAGGTGGAGGTGGAGATTTGTAGTAGTATGGAGGAGGTGGTGCAGGTGAAGGAGGTGGTGGTGATTTATAGACATAGGGAGAAGGAGGTGAAGGAGACGGCGGAGGTGGAGAATTGTAAACATATGGAGGTGGAGGTGAAGGGGATGGTGGAGGTGGAGATTTGTACACATATGGAAGAGGCGGTGAAGGAGAAGGAGGAGGAGGAGACTTATAATAGTATGGTGGAGGAGGAGAAAGGGAAGGTGGGGGTGGAGAATTGTAAACATATGGAGGAGGTGGGGAAGGGGATGGTGGGGGTGGTGACTTGTAGACATATGGAGGAGGTGGTGAAGGTGATGGTGGAGGTGGAGACTGATAGACGTATGGTGGAGGAGGTGAAGGTGAAGGAGGAGGGGGAGACTTATAAACATATGGAGGTGGTGGAGATGGAGATGGTGGAGGTGGTGACTTGTAGACATATGGCGGTGGAGGAGAGGGGGATGGAGGCGGGGGAGACTTGTACACATATGGTGGTGGTGGTGAAGGAGATGGTGGAGGAGGAGACTTGTAGACATATGGTGGTGGGGGTGAAGGGGATGGAGGTGGTGGTGAGTTATAAACATATGGTGGGGGAGGAGAAGAAGTTGGTGGAGGAGGAGACTTGTAGACATATGGTGGAGGAGGTGAAGGGGAAGGAGGTGGTGGTGACTTGTAAACATACGGTGGAGGTGGTGAGGGGGATGGTGGAGGAGGTGACTTGTTAATATATGGAGGTGGTGGTGATGGAGAGGGTGGTGGTGGACTCTTGTAAACATATTGTGGGGGAGGTGAAGAAGATGAAGGAGGTGGTGACTTGTAAATGTATGGAGGAGGTGGTGAGGGAGATGGTGGAGGAGGTGAATTATAAACATATGTTGGGGGTGGTGAGGGAGATGGTGGAGGAGGTGACTTGTAGACATATGAAGGTGGTGGTGATGGAGAGGGTGGTGGTGGGCTTTTATAGAAATATGGTGGGGGAGGCGGTGACTTGTAGATATATGGAGATGGGGGTGAAGGGGATGGAGGTGGGGGTGAGTTGTAAATGTATGGTGGGGGAGGAGAGGGTGATGGAGGTGGGGGGGATTTGTAGACATATGGTGGTAGTGGTGATGGAGATGGTGGAGGGGGAGATTTGTAGTAATATGGAGGGAATTTGTCGACATATGGAGATGGTGGGGGTGGAGATTTGTAGTAATACGGTGGTTGTTGTCCATGACTTGGTGTTGGGTGGTAATTGTTTGGTTGGTTTTCATAGTAAGGCTTATCATCATCAGCAGCAACACTGCTAGCAATTATGCAGAATGCAATTGCATAGATGAATTGAGGCCAATACCTCAACCCAACTGTTCCCATATTCTCTTACTGTTATGTATTTCTGTTCTTTGTTCCTTGGAAGAATGTTTGCTTTTTACTGTGATTGCATAAGTTTGTATTAGAACTCCTTATATAGTGTTTTCCCAAGCGTAGATAATAAGATTTCTGAATATTTCAAATGCATATAACAGGCTGGCTTATTGTTTCAACTTTCAAGGATGATGTAATCCTATACCTTTTGTTACCATCATTTTGTGATTTAAAATTTAATTTTTTGTGATTTTCAACTATATGAGTTAATGTAATGTTGAACGAGTTCTTTTTTATTAGATATGAACAACAAATATTTCTGGAAACGCGTCAGAGGAGGCTTAGTTCTGAATATAGAGAGGAACTGGCAAGCACGATTGAAAATAATTCCAAATTGCCAGAGTTTTCTAATGTCTTTATATTGTGATTAATTACTTTTGGTTCTTTCTTCCGAATAGCCATATTACTAGATTGCAAAGAAATTTTTCTTTTATCACTATACTTTTTACGACAATTAGTTGTAAATATGGTACTCTTATTTATATATAACTTAAAATGCATTTGAGTTAGTGTATATAAGTTACTTAATATGGTATTTTTATATATAACTTAAGAAAAACGTTATCCTGACATCTAAAAATGAGATCATATAGTATACACGGTTCATAAATACATGAATAGTATTTAATATTATTTTAATTTTTAATATATTTTTTTTAAAACTATTTTAATTAATGAAATATAAAAATTTGGTTAATACAATTCGAAATTTAGTTAGTATATATTTTTGATATAAAAAAATAATATATATATATATATATATATATATTATATATATATATATATATATATATATATATATATATATATATATATATATATATATATATATATATATATATATATATATATATATATATATATATATATATATATATATATATATATATATATATATATATATATATATATATATATATATATATATATATATATATATATATATATATATATATATATATATTATATATATATATATATATATATATAT